GCAAGCCACCAGGAGAGCCAGCCTCCTACCGGCCTATTAGCCTCCTGTCCTCGCTCAGCAAGGTAGCTGAGCACATCATCATGCAAAGAATCCTTGGCTACACGGACCTGCATAATATCATCATTCGTCTGGGATTAGAAAGAAACACTCATCGGTCCACCAACTGTACCGAGTTACAGAATTCATCTCCCAAGGACTACAGGAACACCAGACTACAGGTGCCATCTTCCTCGATGTAGCTAAAGCCTTTGATCGTGTTTGGCTGGAGGGCCTCATGTACAAAATTATCTCTCTGGGTTTTCCAGAATACATCACAGCCATCACCTACTTCTATCTTAAGGATAGACACTTTATCGTTCGTGTTAACAACACATACTCAACCCCACGGGCTATCAGGGCCGGTGTCCCGCAAGGGAGCCTCCTTGGGCCCATACCCATATACTATAATATCTACACGAACGATATCCCACAATCATCACACACCACCCTGGTAATGTACGCCGACGACACGGCAATTCTCTCAAAAAATGCATCTTCTGGTCCAGTTATACAAGCAAGATGTAATAGAAGAGATGTAGAAAGTCCTCTACATCTCTTCTATTAGCCAGGTAGTCTTATTACGCTTTGTAGTATTCAAATAAACCAAACCAAAGCAAACCAAAACACGTATCCTAAATATCATTATTAAAAAATTACCAGTATGAAATTCACCCTTCTTTATGTAATATTCTCATAACAAAGAATTGAAAATCTTTAAAAATTGGGAGGTGTAATTTTTTATAAATATTAATTTACTGGAAGACATACTGTTATTGTAAAACAAACATCCATTATGTTCTTAGGTAAAACTGCTGAGGACTTTGTGGGCAATATTACTTCACAGGTTATTGTGTGCACAGAGGAAGAAATAGGATATTGTGTGCACGGAGGAGTCAAGACTATCAAACTTGGTAGCACTGCGTGAACAGTGCTACCGAGCTTTGATAGTCCGAGGGATGTGGCACTTTGTTATACCTTGACAGTGGTTTAGTGGTACACGATAGTTTCGCACAAATCGAAAAGTAAGGATGTTTCCGCACAAAGGAAATTCATTTTTGGATGGGTGATAGCAGTTAGTGTAATTAAGTGGCATTTCCACACCTCTTGGTTGCAATAATCACATCTTAGTTGCAATCAATCTTGGTTATCCTTCGAATAGCTTGCAACAGCTTTATTAATTTGCTTTATAAAATTCTAAGCTACTGCACTGCACAAATATAGATTTTATAAAATGATAAATGGTGTAAAGAATGATAAATAGCATAAGATAACTTTAAAAGGTCAAAATATGATAAAAATGTAGCACACTTTAAAGCTCAGTTTCTTTTTAATTAACTGATATAAACGTGAAAATTTGTATACTTCTTTTGATGTCCTTGAGAGTAAATTTGCTCTTTTTATTTATGTTCCAAATAATGATATATTTTAAATAAAATGTATTTTTTTTGTCATCCACGTAATATTGTAACATGTTTTAAGCTCAGCATTATTGATAAACATATCACTATTTTTAGTTTTTCCTTTTTCTTTTCTTTTCTTCTTTCTTACTTTTTCCCCCAAAAGAATTTCCAGTTAAAAAGACGCTAAAAATAATAGTATACTTTCTTAAGTCTCCATTACCGACTATTTTGTAACATAAAATTAATTTCTAAAACTTTTAAGGGAGAGCCATATTGCTTGCTCATTTTAAACTCATTTAGGTTTTATATAACTGAAATATAACCACTTTGGGCCACTTGTCTCTGATAAAAGGAGGAGACATTGAGTAGTGGTCTTTTAATTTTAAAACAGTTTCAAGACATGAAATTGCGTAATTAATTTATTAATTGGTATAGCAATTTCCATATTTTTAAAGTCTGGACTTTAAACTTGGACTTGCAGTTTGTAAATGGACTTGCAGTTTGTAAATTTCACGTACTGGTGAATTTGGATCACTTAGTTGTTTTAACTGTTCAAAATATGAAGCGGAGTTGGTTACGTAGAGTAAGGCTGTAGAGTCATTAGGATTTTTTAGAGGCAGAAAAGATGAAAAATAGCAAATGCCTTCGCCGGGAATCGAACCACGGACCTCTGGAATACCGGCCCAGCGTGTAGAACTACTACACCACGAAGGACGCTAGTTAAAGTGGAAGAAATACCTTATATACTCCCCTTTTTAAAGGGCGACTAAGGTTTTAGGGGACCTGGGGACCTAGTCGCCAAATCCTGGGTGCGGAGAATCATCATCCACAACCCTTTTAGTTCGGGCGCCACTTGTAGAGTTATTAGGTTAATTGGAAGCAGAAAAGATGAAAAATAGCAAACGCCTTCACCGGGAATCGAACCACGGACCTCTGGAATACCGGCCCAGCGTGCAGAACCACTACACCACGAAGGATGCTAGGAAAGTGGGAGAAATATATATATATATATATATATATATTATATGCCTAAGGGAAGAGATACCTTTGTTGCCTGCTTCCAAAAATACCTAATGTCTCTAAAGTGGCGCCCGAACTAAAACGGTGTTGGATGACGATTCTCCACACCCAGGATTTCGCGATTGGGTCCCCTCAAACCCCTGTCAGCCTTTAAAAAAGGGGGAGTATTTCTCTCGCCTTCGTGGTGGGGTGGTATGCATGCTGGGCGCGGATTCCAGAGGTCCGTGGTTCGATTCTCGGCGAAGGCGTTGCTCATTTTTCAATCTCTCTTGCTTCCAAAAAATCTTAATGTCTCTACAACTCATAAATTTACGTGAATTTTAATATGAAGAAATCTAATTATTAAAAATATCTAAATTTATATTTAGATGATATTTATAATCATTAGATAATGCTCTTAACATTTAATTGTAAACATAAATTTAAATTCTGTTGACAAATATATTTATAAAACAGCTTAAGCAAGAATTGTTCGTACTGGAAAACGTTCTATTAAAACGGGCTGTAAAGCCCCGTATATATAAGATGCATATCCAAGGAGCTAGTTCAGTAGAGTTTTATTATGTTTACTGTTATATTCAGGGATCAGAAAAAGTTTCTTTTAAGTATTAAAAAAATTATTTCCTTACATTTTATAATAATTCATTTAGTAGTAATTAATAACCCCCTTTTTCTTATCCTTTCGCGAAATCTTTATAGAAAGTTAAGCATACGGAAATCAGCAACAGTACTTAACATATTTAATCATTAAAACGAAAAGTTCGCTCATTTGAAATAAACGAAGCAGAGTATTCATTATAGAGTGGTTAAGATTTTGACTTAAAATATGCCTCAAACTGAAAATAATCTCATATTTGACAAAATATTTTAGATTGAAACCTTGTAAATAGAAAAGAAGAAACTCGTGATATTAATATTAATATAAGAAACTTTAATTTTAATTTTTGTAACTGAATAAAATCGAATTACCTTAAAATTTCTTTCTAATTTAATTAGCGAAAACTTACGAAAAAATTTCATTCAAATTAAAAGTGTTCCGAGTACGGGAAAAGTATAACATTTAATTCTGGTCAGAACGAAATATTGTTTTAAATTATATTCTTTTATATAGTTAGGACTCTTAAACATTGTAAAAAAAAACACATACATATATACTTATATTTACGACGTAATTACAAAATGTTTACCTCCGAATATGTCAAAATCTATATAGCTCCTATAATGGTAAGTTATAGAATGTTTTGATAAAAAAGGGAGTGTGTCACTGCTTCGAGGGTGGGGATGGGAAAACCAGTTCGGTCCTCTCCATTCCTTCCTCTTGCCATGACTGTGTGCTATCTATTTCAGATGGTTAGCATTACGTTAATGTGGTTATGCACTGTATTTTTACCTCATTACCTACAAATTGAGCTCTATAAATTAAAATCGCATATTTCTAACTCCTTCCCTTCTTCCATTACTTTTCCTCCACAACAATGGTAGCCGACCTGTTTGCAGTTTCAGAAGTGTTACCACTTTGCAGTAATTCAATTCCTAGCAACCTCAGATCAAGGGTCGGGGTTGGCAAGTCAGATGGGCATTTATTTATTATTGAAATTCTTTTACAAAGTCGTAATTTTGCTTAGTAATACACATAAGAATATAAGAGTGCAATCAATGTTAAGGGGATATTTAACATTAAGACAGGGATCAAAGTCAATGATCATTTCGTACTTAATAATCATGTCAATATAGTCACTTCAATAAATAATAGTCATCTGAGGAATTTTAAACTGTTTATATTCAGTAGATATTATATTGTCAGTAGTTTACAGCAGTCTAATATACAGCAGCAGTCTTCATATATGATCAGTAATCATATACTATAATATTATATTGTGAATATTATCAATATTTCATGATGCACAGTCAGTGATTCATATATACGTTCAATAGACATTGTAATGTATTTTGCAGTATTTTACAAAACAGACAATCTTCTTAGTAGAACATAAATTTTATTTCTAGTTCACGGTGATAGACAAATTTTATACAATTCTTAAGTGGCAAAATTTTCATACTACTCCTAGCTGCTAAAATCTTCAGAATCTCATCTTTTTTTTTAAAACAATATCTCACGTTGCTGAATAACGGTTTAATACAAATATGGCGTTGCCACTTCACATTACATTTATTTATTAAATAACAAGATATTACAACATATATTCGAATATTTCTTCAAGTTTGCTAGTCTATTGAAGATCAGAAAGTCATAGTCTGTAAAGCTAATAAACATGTATTTGAATACTTCGAGTGATAATTGTTCATAAAATTTGTTAGTCCATTGATGATCAATAGGCTATAATTTGTAGATAACACACTACAATAGTTAATATATTATCATACAATAACTATAAACATATATTAATGTAACACTTATAAGATGAAAAATATATTTATAATATTATAATGTGCACATTATAAACGGCGAAGTAGTACTGTATCGTTTCATTACTCAGACATCAGTTTTACTAAAAACTTCCTTTCTTTTATCTTTTTCAGACATAATGTCGACAGCGAAGAAGACTGCTGGGAACATTCGTGAATTTGCCTCCCGTCTGACAAGAAAAAAATTTGTGGACACGGATGTCATGGAAACAAATTTACGCCGTTGCCTCAACACAGCTGATATCACTTTATTAGCTATAGGTCACATGATCGGTTCTGGAGTTTACGTACTCACAGCAACTGTTGCCAAGAACTTGGCTGGGCCAGCTATTGTGGTGGCATTCCTGTTCAGTGGATTCGCTTCTTTCCTTGCTGCTCTCTGTTATGCAGAACTTGGCGTCAGATACCCGAGATCGGGATCAGCATATTCCTACACATATTTGGCTTTAGGAGAATTATGGGCTTTCCTTGTAGGATGGAATGTGGCCTTGGAACATGTTATTGGAGCTGCGGCCATCTCCAGAGCATGTAGCGCTTACATAGATTCCTTGGCAGGTGGCGTTATTAAAAACAGTACAATGACGCTCTTCGGACCAATACACGTACCATTCGTGTCCGAGCATTTGGACTTTCTTGCTTTTGGTATCCTACTTCTGTTTGTAATTTTCTTGTCCTTCGGAGTTAGGATGACATCCCATTTGAATAATGTGTTTTCAGCAGCTAACATGATTGTCATCTTGACTATTATATGCGTGGGAGCATATTTTTCTGACACCAAGAACTGGACGAATCCGCAGACAGGTGGCTTTATGCCATACGGTTGGTCCGGTGTACTAGCCGCATCTGCATCTTGTTTCTATGCGTATGTGGGTTTCGATTCCATTGCGTCTTCCGGCGAAGAAGTTAAAGATCCACAGAAGTCCATACCTAGAGCAACAATGATTTCCATGGGCATTGCTACAGCCACTTACGTCGGAGTATCCACTGTTCTTACGCTTATGGTCAATTACAAAGACATCGCAGATGATTCTGGATTACCAGAAGCATTGGATTCACATGGTGCGCATTGGGCAAAGATAGTAGTCATCGTAGGAGCCGTCAGCGGAATGGCAACTGGCATAATAGGAAGCCTTTTTGCCCTGACACGAGTCATATATGTTATGGCTGATGATGGTCTTCTTTTTGCCTTCTGCTCAAACGTAAATCTGAAAACGAAGATTCCTTTAGGAGCAATGTATATTTTCTCTTTTCTGTCAGCCATTATGACTTTAACACTTGATATCAATACCCTGGTTGAGGTGATGTCCATAGGCACACTTTTTGCTTACCTTGTTGTCAGTGCATCCGTAATTATCTTAAGATACAGACCATATACAAGTGTCACGATGGGCAGCCAAGAATTGTCTTCCATTGGAGATAACAGTGCCGACAAATCACCAGTAGAAGATAGTGCTGGCCAGTTTCAAGACCGTTTCCAAGTACTCCAAGCATATGTAAATCTACAACCAGGAAAACTAGTAACATACTGTGTTGTTTCTTTCGTGCTGTTTACGTTTCTGCTGTGTGGTTTTATAAAAGGGTGTTATTCAGCCATTGAAGAAGGATATTGGTGGACAATGTTCATACTGATCATTTTGTCTCTTGGAGTTACAGTGACCTTCATCTTCATTTTGATCCATCAACAATCAACATGTCCTCTTCGTTATAAGGTAAGCTTGCTCACAAGACTTCTAGATAATAATAGTACGAGTTCTAGATAATAATACCACTGTTACGTATTTCGGTGGATGCCGCTTAATGTGTTCGCGGTTAATGTTATCATTTGAATAATCTTATCGATTTACCGAAGCCCGGCTCCTTTGTACACGAAAACATGAAAAATACATCGCTTATTGTGATTAGCAGTTTGGTTAATGCAATCAAAGTATTATAGCATAAATTTGTTTTAAACTGAAGTAAAGTTGTTAATTAAGGCTATAACAGATTACAAAAATTGCCAGGTGACAGAGAAATGTCACGAAGTCAGGGGTTAAGCCATATTCCATTTTCTTACTCCTTTCCGCATGCCTTCCTGGTGTAACTGGAAGCCCCCTAGTCGCGTATTCGAGAATTCCAGGGTTCCAGTCCCAGTAAGGGTACTGCATATTTTTTACGTCTCCTGTTTCAAAATAACCCAATGATTCTATTAGTGGCGCTCGGACTAAAAGGTGATGGACGATAATTCCTCACAAACCTGGATTTAGCGATTTGGTCCCCTTATTCCCAGCTGCCCTTTAAAAGGGGGAGAATATAAGGCATTTTCTTCCTTCTTTGCTCATGCCTTCGTGGTGTAATTAGAAGCATACTCGAAGCGTATCTGAGAGGTCCAGTGTTCGAGTCCTGGAAAGAGCATTGCACATTTTTGAAAATAACCCAATGACTCTACAAAGTAACCCAAACAGCTTGGTTTCAATTTCAGTCAACTATTTAAAATTAGGTAAAAATTTGAGGCAATTTGAGGGCAATTAGATAAGAGGCTTTCTTCTTCTTCAAGCGCTAAAATAATTTTACAGACTTTCCCCGCTTTTCTTAAAACAAATCCTTGAAAACATCTACGCTAAACTGAGGTCGTCTTTTTTTTCAATTTATTTTAAATTTTACATTGCTATGTTCTCTTCCATTGAAGGATGCCCTCTGAGTGACAAGATTAGGGGCACAGCATCGGGCAAATAATTCTAGTCACCTTTATATCAAATTATCGTCCACTATTAGTTTGAAGGCTATTTTTTCTCATCGTTTAATGTTATCAAAATAGCCGTGGTTACAAGTGATTATACTAAGCGGCGCCCACTGTGTTACTGTATGTGTAAATAAGGTATGAAATTATTTAGTCTAAGTCAGTGTTATGAGGTCTACTTTTACAAATTAGGATGTTCTGCGCAACACCGTACTGTTGTTCTCTTCGAAAACGATTTTTTATATGTTACTGCTAGAATATAGGTGTTCCGCATATGAAAGGTAAGTTCGAAAAAAGTACTGTGTTGTGTGAAATTGTGTTATACGGGACTAACAATCAATACAAAATAGGGAGATGCGTTCCTAAAATGTTTAGAAACAATTTTTTAATGTTTCTTACTGTTGCCTCATTTAAATTTAGACTTTTCGCAACGTTAGATACCTTTTCGCGTTTTAAAAAATGTTTCAAAATTTGTATTTTCATCTGCAAAGAAATAATTTGTTTTTTAACTTTTATCCTTTCAGGCATACTTTGGAACTGAAATAAAGTTTCGCGATAATGAATCCTAAAAACGATAAAGCTAATTAGCAATTTATACCCCAAATCTGGTTTAAAAATATTCTTCCAAAATTATAGTTACGTAATTTATGCAATCTACCAATTGAACATTCGCGGGGAAAAAGACATACTGTGTAAATGATGGGCACGACTCAATTTCATGTAACTTCGATGTGAGAAAATGCAGGTATTTCTGTAATTTATTTTATTCTTGTAATTTATTTATTTTGTAATTTATTCTTTATAAATAAATATAGGTTGTTACTGCTTACTACACACGATGGTACAGCATGTAACTTAATTTTGTAAATGCTTAAACTAAAAATCGTGTTATAGAAATATGTGCGTATGTAAAGTGTTATAAGAAGGTTTACGCATATTCATTAATGTGATAGAAAGAAACCATATTGCCATGCTGTTCGTGGGCTTCCCGCTAGTTTCTCATCGTGTATAATAATAAAATGAAGTAAAATAAGTCCGTCCCCACAGACTAGTTGCCAAATTAAATCTTGCAGTTCTCATAATCATTGCCGCTCGCTCAACCCCCAGTTCAAGTGGAAGAGACCGCCAATGACTTGATGACACGATCTAGATATGAACAACAGCAGATGTCCTTGAATTGCGAGCTGTTTTTTTTTCTTATATGCGATGCCAGTTTCCATTCCCAAATAGAAGCTGCGTATACGCTCTGTAACTGACTGATACCATGTTCTCACCAATTACAAAAACATCACATAAAGATTTTTCGACAGCTAATACATAGTCAAATTCACTTATAACAATTTCAAGGAACTAAACACTTGGTTCGCTGTATCCAATCTGATAAGAGAAAAAGGTTAAAAAAAGTTTATCTCATAAAATAGCAAAAATGTATTGATGAAGCACACAGAGTGATTAGCGTTAAAATATATTAAAAGCTAATTACAATTATTGTTACGTGTAGTTATTAAATACAGGGTGTACCGTAAATGTTGCGACAAACTTCTAGGGAAGGTAGCGCACATCATAAGGATTAAGAATAGCATAGGAACCTATACTCGGAAATGTCGGGGGTAAGTGGTAGCAGAGCTAGAAGATGGGAAAAGAAGCAAGAATGATTAATTTGAAACATTTATTGGACATGAACACAAATGGTGTACGACAGCTTGAATGTTACAACAGATGCTTGAAGTTTGCACCATCAGACGCCAAACATGCCTGACACCGACGGACAATTGATTGCCGGACATGTTCAAACACACCGCGAGTTTCTTTGATTGTAGCAGCTGCATAGGCGAGTCTTGTCACGAGATCGATTTCAGACACAACAGGACCATGATACACGACACTTTTGATGGTTTCCCACAAAAAGAAATCAAGGCTTGATAAATCAGGTGAGTGTGTGGGCCAGTGAACTGGTCCACCAACCCCAATCCATCGATGCGGGAAAGATCTGTTCAAATAGCTACGAACAGCCAGTCCATGTTGCGCCTCACATTTGGTGGAACATCGTCAAGCAAATCAGGAAGAACCTGCTCGAGAAAGATGAAATAATTCGCGGCATTCAAATGGTCCGTCGGTGTCAGGCATGTTTGGCATCTGATGGTGCAAACATCGAGCACCTGTTGTAAGCTGTTGTATTCATGCCCAATAAATGTTTGAAATTAATCACTCTTGCTTCTTTTCCCATCTTCTAACTCTGCTATCACTTATTCCTGACATTTCCGGGTATAGGTTCCTATGCAATTCTTAATCTTTATGATGTGCCCTACCTCCCTAGAAGTTTGTCGCAACATTAACGGTACACCCTGTATATTTTTCGTTGTTTTCAATTTTCATCATACGTTAATAATTTAAAACTAAAAATTACTTAGCATAAAAGACATGGTTTAAACCCATCTGTCCATGACGCATTTAATTGAACTTTGGTCTTCAGTAGTAATTGTTTTAAGAATAAAAGTCGTTTTGGAAATAGTTTGCTTTAAGCAGTCGAACGATTGCTTTTATATAATATTACTTATTAAATGTTTATAATTTTGTTAAAATTCGCTTTTCTACGCATATTTTCACTGTTTTTTTCGGGTCAGAAAAATAGCTAAAAGTTTTTTTTTTTTTTTAAATTTTTTTTAACGCTGGTGTACTTCTTTGATAAAGAAACAGAATGAACCAAACTTTATTCTTAAGCGTACCTAATTTAGCACTTAAATTTGTACCAGTTTAAAATTATTTTGATCTTTGTCGTTCTGTTTAAATTTGCTGAAGTTTTGATTTCCTTTTAATTTACATTGTTTATTCCCCGCATATGATGAATGTTTATTGTTACTTTTTGTTCCTTTATAAGAAGTATTAAAAATCTAACAAAAGGTTTTTATAATATGTATATAGTATATATATGGCTCGTATTTGATTTAAGACATTTGTATTTTTGAAATTTATTTGTATAAATCTTGTGTTAAATATTGAAACATAGACCTTAAATTTTTTTTAGGTATATTAATTTTTCTCTATTTTAAGCCTTATTTTAAAATAAATAACATCAAAATATTCCTTATAATAAAATAATTCGTTTAAAAAAGGTTAGTCAGTAACTCGCATAATAATTCGGACACTCCAAATATTTGTGAAATGTTTTGGTAGACAATGCTCTTATTATAAAGCTTTGTCTTAAATGCAAATATATTACAAGATTTATCATCTATATTTGGAAACTTTTACTTGTGTACTTGGAAACTTTTACTTTACTTACTAGAAAAATGTATTAACAGTTCGATACCTGAACTGAAAAAGACGCTACAAATTAACGACCAATTTTGTTAGAAATTTTGTAATTCGTCTTTATAAAGATGGTAAATGTATTGGAATTACCCCGAAACATCCTTGATGTAAAGCGTTTAACTGTCGTTTTAGTAATAAAACGATGGGAATAGCGTGGAATTGTTAAAAATGCTTTGAAGTCTGGATCACATTCCAAGCTAACGCCAAGGAATTGCAGATTTATTCTATAAAAATAAAATCATTAAAAACGTACTGTAAAACGTTCGGAAAATTTAGAAGAACAATTTGCATTAAAAAATAACTCTGAAGCTTTTAGAAAAGTCATTTAGAACACGTTGATACAAAGAGCGATCAACAAGAAAGAAATTCTTCTTCAATTAAAAAGCAATGAAAATCTATAGTAAGCAAAGTTTTATATTAGAACAATGTTCTATTTGCAGATACGTTAAAATCTACCATATTTTGGTACGATAAATGAATTAATATGTGCCAAAATCCAAATGAAGAATTGAATTCGAAAATCCATTGCCTAATGCTATGCATGGAAGGTACAAGCATAGTAGGTTGGGGATGTTTTGATGCTTTTAGAATACGGAATTTAGTGTTTATTAGAAATAATATGGACTAGTATAAATATGGAAATATTCTTAATGAAAATTTGGAATGCAAAATACATTCAGTTTCTTGTAGTATAAGGATCCTAAAACATGCAGCCCTGAATGTTCGCTTGTGGTTATTGTACAACTGTCCTTAAATCATTAAAACTTGTCCATTTTTTCGGACTTAAATTCTATGGAGCATGTATGGAGTAAATTGGAGAATAGAATAAAGAAACATAATAATTCCTCGAAAACTCTACTAAAGGCAATTTTTAGGTAGGAATGGAGCAAAAGGAACACTTTAACACGAAAACAAATAATCGAATTCATCAACAGCAAATCGCAGGGAAAGTGTTATTTTAACTAAAAGATATCCGATGAAATATCGAATGTCCAGTTATTTTATTGTTTTTATTAAATATAAACTTTTCATTCATAGCGTCCGAATATTTATGTGATGAGTATTCGAAACATTTGCAGAACTTTTATGATATTTATTTTAAAGTACGTATATGATAGTTATACGAAACGTTCATTTGCAGAACTTTTTATAGTGTGAACTCATAGAGTGAATCCATACTTAGTAAGTTCTATTTCGAAAGATATTTTTAAGTAACTTGAATGTAAATTGTTAAAAATGTTTAACGGGGACTGGGAATTAAATCATGAATAACAATTGTAAAAGGAATAAATTAAAAGCAAGAATTAAATTAAATGCAAGTAATCATTGTCATTGATCAGAAATTAGTTGACTTTTCAAGGCGAATACACCAACTCCCGTTCAATGAACAACAATTAAGAAATAAATACGAAGGTGTTTCGTCCTTTTACTCGAGCAATAAGGCGATGCCAAACCGGCAATTCATGTCAGGCCAAACATTTCCGTGAATAGAGGGTATTAAGAACCAATGCAGAGATCCAAAGAACTCATTCCGATTTAAGTATTTTAGCTAATTCAATTTTGAGTAAAAAGCAATTTTTGCAATAAATGTGATATCGCTCGAGTAAGCATTCCCCGACACCCTCGTATTTATGCATTTAAGTTCAATATTATTTGTAAAAATTAAACATTGGATATTGTCATTATGAAATATAATTCAAAGTAGTTGAAATAAACATTAGAAAATTACAAATTATAAGAAAATATGCAATCTTTGTAAAAACAAATCAAAAAATAAAAAATAATGTAAATAATAAGAAAAGTGAATGTACATGAAGATATAAAGGCCAGAAAAAGAATTAATTAACTCAACGTTCTTTCTAGTTGGGAGTGGGCAAAGTGTTCTCTTCGCGTCTGACTCAGAAGTGTTGTGTTCAGAAAATTCTTTAGCGGCAGCGAGGGCTTTGAATTATATCAGTAGGTAAGACTTATGTGAAGTAATTTATGGTGTGGGAGGGACGTATGCTGTGGAGCTTTTATTTGAGTGAAACCGTCTGTTAAAATTTTTTGAAAATACTAGTGAATGGAAATTAATTAATTTTTGGCTAATTGTCGTGTCGTAACGATGAAGAATTTAAGAAAGGAAAAAAGGAATTTTCACTGGCAAAGAGCTATTTGACAGACTAAAGATTATGAAATAGGCCCATTTATTTAGTAACAGCATAAGTCTGAAGACAATTAGCTTTTTACATTATATACAGCTTAGTAATTACACTATGTACAAATCCTTCAACTGATAGTCATCCAACTTATACCGCCTTCTCAGGTTTAGAACAAATTATCATATTCCTATCAGTTAAATGATTTAGAGTGAGTATTTAAAGCCTGCTCTTTTAAGGCAATGGTTAATAAATTGATTGGGTATTAGATTATTTTTGAGAATTTTAATAAGGAGCATAATTTCGCGTTGTAGATCTATCGTATCTGTGCAGATATTTTTAATTCGTTGTATTTGATTTATTATTGTATTGTTAATTACTTTTTTGGATATGTTGGAATTCCAATTTATTAATTTGTTAGTATTGAATTGAAATTTCTTATTTTGTCAAAAAGTAAAATTTTTTTGTAGTTAATGATTTGAAGATCTAGAAAGTCTTTGCTATTTTTGAATTATTAGTTTTATTAAGTGTAAGACAATTTGGATAAATCTCTGAGTGTTCAATTTTATTAAAATTATTATTCGTAATAAGGTCATCAATATATCTGTAGGTGTGCTTGTAGTAATTTAACTCTTGTGGATGTAGATTTTTTTGGAAGTTAAATTCTTTGATAAATAAAAAGATATTACAGAGCGATGTACTGGAATGTGAGCCCATTGGCAGACCTCTGACTTGTTTAAAAAGTTGATTTTGAAATTTGTGTAGTTATGAAAAATGTAGTTATGAAAAAGTGTGCATTTTAGGTAGGTTTTCCATTTGGTAAGATTTATAATTGTGAGCATATCAGGGAAGCGTTTAGGTAGATCTAGTAAACTGGTATAGATTTCTTCTAGAGGAAGTGTAAATTATTACTAACTTACTTTGCAGCAATTGGGCAAGTAGTAGAATAACTTAATTTCGCCCTCAATGAATTTAAGATTAATATATATATATATATATATATATATATTATATATATGTATGTATGATTTATTGTGCATGTTTCTCTCTCTCTATATATATATAAGTAGTATTTTATGTGCAAGCAGTAACCCAAGTGTAAGCAGTAATTTATGAGTAATAATATGTAATGTAATGCATATATTTAAGTATATTAATGTGTAAGGTAATGGGTATATGTAATTATGTATCATATTAATACGTAAGCAGTATTGTCTGTACACGCAGGAAATCATGTGTAAGCAGGAATATGTGTGAGCAGTAACTTACGTGCAAGCAGTAATTAATGAGTATTTTTGTATCATACTAATGTGTAAGCAGTAATTAATGAATATTTACGTATCACACTAATGTGTAAGCAGTAACTTATGTGTAAGGAGTAATTTATGAGTATTTATGTGTCATACTAATGTGTAAGCAGTATTTCATATGTAAACAGTAACTTATGCGTAAGCAGGAACTTATACATCATCAGTAGGCAGCAATTCCTGTGTACGTAGTAATTTACGTACAGTGCAACTGAATATGTATGTAATCTTATACATGTAATTTATGCATAAGCTGTAACAAGGTGCAAGCAGTAACTTATGCGTAGGCAGTAATGTATCATATTAATGTGTAAGCAGTATTTGTATTATACTAATGTGTTATCATGTATCATATTAATGTGTAATGCAATGAGTATATGTAATTATGTATTATTTAAAGTGTAAGTAGCATTCTATGTGCAAGCATTAATTCAAGTGTAAGTAGTAATTTATGTGTAAACAGTAATTTAGGAGTAATAATGTGTAATATAATGCATATATTTATGTGTATATGTAAGCATATTAATGTGTAAGGTAATGTGTATATGTAATCATGTATCATATTAATATGTAAGTAGTATCTTCTGTGCAAGCAGCTTATGTGTAAGCAGTAATTAATGAGTATCTATTTAACATAATGTGCAAGCAGTATTTCATATGCAAGCAGTAACTTATGTGTAAGGAGTAATTTGTGAGTATTTATGTATCATACTTGTCTGTAAACAGTAACTTATGTGTAAGCAGGAACTTATGTATCATCAGTAGGCCGCAATTCATGAGTACGTAGTAATTTATGTACAATGCAACAGAATATGTATGTAATGCAATGGTATAACGCAACTATGCACAATGCAGCTATGTAGTATAATCCCTGACTGAAACAGCATGCTGTTTCATATTCCGCACTGAATAACCAAATACGTGTAAACTGTGATCCGAATGTTGCCATATGTACAATGCTATATGTAATAATGTATCATATTAATGTGTAACCAGAATTTTAAGTGTAAGCAGTAACTTATATAAGTAATAATGTGTCATCAGCAGGCAGTAACTTATGTGTAAAGTAGCAGTTATGTATAGTGCAACAGTATATGTGTGTAACGCAACGGTGCATTGCAACTATGTAGTATATTCTTTAACTGAAACAGCATTTTGTTTCATACTCCGCACTGAATAATCCAATATGAGCGAACTGCGATCTGAATGTTGCCATATGTACAATGTATTATGCAATTGTGTATCATATTAATGTGTAAGCAGTATTTTTCAGTATTTGTATCATAATAATGTGTAATTATGTATCAAATTAACGTGTAATGTAGCATGTATATGTAACTGAGCATCATGTTAATGCACCATATTAATGTAGTCATATTAATGTAAGCAGTATTTCATGTGTAAGCAGTATTTCATGTGTAAGCAGTAATTTATGTGTAAGCAGTAATTCAGGTACAAGCACAAGCAGTAACTTATGTGTATGCGATAATTTACGAAAAAGCAGAATTTATATGTTATCAGTAGGCAGTAATTTATGAGTAAGTAGTAATTTATGTTGAAGTATCGATAAACTCCCGGTGCGTCCTTATGGGGCCACAGGGAGTTGTTGCGTCTGGATAGGGGAGGGTGTGGGACATATGCCTGTTTACCTCTGTTAGACGCCAGGCGTCCTCCGTCACCTGTCACCTCTCTCTCTCTATGTATATATATGATAGACTATATATATGGCTATTTAATTCTGTTTATAACTTCGAATGCCATTAATTTGCTCAATTAACATTATATTGTTTATATTCTTACTTGTTTTCTTTTGCCTCTTCAGAAATTAATCGATATTTACAGATAATGACTATTAAAAATGTATATATGGCAATCCACCTATCAGCTGAAAAGTTAAAGCAATTTTTTAATTGGAGAAAATGTAAGACATGTAATGTGAGAAATTGTGATTGCTAAGCAATAATTTGTTTCTAAGATATCTGGGAAAATGACTTTTTCTATTTCTTGTTGCAGGTTCCTCTCGTGCCCTTGATACCAGCGTTAAGTATTGTGGTAAATGCTGTTCTGATAGTGAATCTGCAAGCAGCTACATGGCTTCGATTACTCATCTGGGTTGCCATTGGTGAGTATCTCTTCTTGCAAATATTTTTCTGGTAATTCCGTTTTTAGATAGTTTTTTTTTTTTTTTTAAAATCAGAATTCATTTGTTGTTTGTGATATATTTTGGTTGTTCATTTTGTTCATATGTCTAATTTGAACACTGGTAAAACATATTAACAAATGAAATTGTCCAAAATATTTCCAAAATTTATTGCGTTTTTTACTTCCTTGTACGAAGTAAAAAGGAAGTATTGTAATCGCGAAAAGTTTCAGGCAGCATATTTCAACGAAAATATCCATTTTGACCGCTATCGAATGCAATTTAATGATGTTTTTGCGTGATATCTGTACGTAAGGAACAGAATAAAAGACTCGTTTTCTCCAAAAAAAATTATAAAAATTTTGCTTTAAAATGAATTCTGAAGAGAATTTTTCGTGGCGTCTGTACGAACGTACGTACGTACGTATCTCGCATAACTCAAAAACGAGTAGCCTCAGAACGTTGAAAATTTTGTATATAGGGACTGCTATAACATGTAGATGTGTACCTCGTATTTTGGTTGCAATCGGCCGCACCAAACGTATATAAATATATTTATATATATATCCACTCTGTTACCCGGCTCAGTGATCTCAGTTTCTTTACGCTTATATGTTTATAGATTGTACATTTTTTGCTTTAAAAATGATTGAATTATGTTGTTTTATCTTCCGGTTAAGGTTTTTATGCCTTTAGTAAATCTGTATGCAATATTTTTAGAATTATCAACAATTTTAAAGTTGTTTAAGTGCCGCTAAGCCTTTTTTTATGGCGGCCATTGATTATATACATTTGAAACATAAGACTAGTGGATTTGTTGCCAATCTAGAGAAACTTAGCTTCGCAACAACAAAGATAACGCCTTCATTTATTATTGCTAATTAAATCATGCTTAATCCTTTCTGGAATTTTTTCGAGGAAATACGTGTTTAAGATTTACTTCGTAATTTTTAATACAGATATTTTGACTTTTTATGTATTTTTGCCTTGTCGCGAAATGAGAGCTGAATTAATTGAATGAGAAATACTCAATCGTCTGTGAAAAACCGTTCCTTTTTTGTTTTGTTTGCTTAATTTTTTTTTATACATCGTTCTAGCTCTTTTATAGTATTTGAATAGAACATGTGGCAACAATTAGATAATTTTTTAAACGATATAAATTTTGTGCATTCTGAGTTATAATATAAACGAAATATAATACTGTTAAGTGAACCTAGCGCCAGAGTGTGGCTATGGTAAACAAATAGAGTGAATTTTAAAGAATGCTCTTATTCTATTGTGGTTTATGCGCTGTCGGCGAAGTAGATTTAATTCAATCCAATAAGTTTAAATGAAATGCAAGAAAAAATGCGTATAATTTAATATTACGTACAAGGAAGTCATGCGGTGTACACATCAGATTTTTTTTTTTTTTTATCTTCATCTTAAGTCTTTGTTTTGCCATTCGCCGTATTAATGCTTGCTTTAAAAGCAGTCATATATTTCTGAAGACTTTAAAACTTTAGTATTGACTTAGGTTTAACTATTCAGAAAGTATTTTCTATGTATGTACAATAAGATATTTAAAGCTGCCCAAACGGATATATCACTATTTATTACAGATGTGCAAATTTATGGACCAATGAAATTATGTTCCCTCATGAAAAATTGAAAATAGCAATCATGTACAGCGTTTTAAATTATCAGACACTAAGAACACAGTGCAAATTATAACACAAATGAAAAATAAATGAAAAGAGTAGAAATATTTATAAGTATGTACAATAAACTAGTAATTAGGATACAAAGTTATGGTCACCTAATAGATGCACAGTGTATGCGTTAATAAACCTATCATCTTCCAGTACTACATAGTTGATTAGCGACGCGTAATTTATAATAGATCTGCTAATTGCCTTAGGAAAGAACTTTTCGTTAGCATTTCTGAGGTGTTCGCTAGTAAGAGGGAATTTTAAGTCTCTGTGTAGCATAGAATTTCTGATGAAAACGCAAACATTAGTGATAATGCGAAGCATCTTGTTTTAGATAATTTGCAGTTTATTTATGTCTGCCATAGCCACTGCACAGGGCGGACAAGGCACAGCATAAAATAGGCTTGTTATTCACTGTTGTATGAAGTTCTTTTGCTTTTTAAGTAATGTAACGAAGTAAGGGCAGGAACTGATTTATTATCATGTTGGCTTTATTGACTGCATACTTTGTGTGCTGATCCCTTTTAAAATTGCGACTAAGAATCCCCCAGATACTTAGCTTTGGTTACTTACGGTACTTCTTCATTACACATTTTAGATGCTTTTCTTGGTCTTATGCGGTCTACTACAAGCAACTGAGACTTGTTTCCATTTATTAATGCCCTCCATTTTCGGAACCAGCCTTCATGTTTGTAAATTTCGGCCTGTATTTTTTAACAACTTGACTCGTCAAAAATGATTTTACCGCAATTGCGGTATTGTCTACATTGTAAGCCAGGAGCCGATCGCAGTCATTGCCCACTTTAGGAAAATCAGTTATGTAGAAAAGGTAAAGCACTGGGGCAAAACAGGATCCTTGCGGAACTCTTGCACAGTATGAACATTAAAATCATGTAACATATAATAAATATGATATGGAACCTCTTGCAGATATGGCAGTCTCGTAGCGACGTTTTGTGTTTCTTATAAAAAAGTTCAATAGCACTGTAGGCTGTTATTCTTTTCCTGAAGAAAAGTCATCAGATATTTAGAATGATACGTAGATTCATAAGATGCAATTCCTTTTTTTACATACCTGTATATGTTCTACAGAATTCATAAGCTGAAACTTCTCTAGTTTTTTTATGCACTAGATATCTTTATTTCTCAGAAGGTAAAATGTATAAACTGAGGTGTGTGAAGACATACTTTGTCGATCACAAGTACGAACTGAGGATCTGTAACACTACTGAAAAGTCCAACAGGATATTCCAGTCTTTTTTCTTAGAACTAAGGGAACTCCTAGTAAATTATTAAATATGAAGTATGAAATATTATTAAAATATGAAATTATGTCACATGTATAACATGATGCTTACTTATACTAGGACTTCATAGCCATCATATTAATTATTTTCTCTAATATATGTCTCTTTGCCTAATGTGGTACTATGGTAGTTTCCAGAGTGTTTTTAATGAAGAAATAATTTTGCAAATTGAAGTACGACGTACAAATAAAAAGCACATTCCCTATTGATTTAGTGTTCATTTTTAATATTCCACATTCATTTTCAAATAGGTTTTTCTATTCGCAAAGGAATCCCTGAAACAAACGTTGAGCGCAGGATGCAGAAACGATTTTTCTAAAAATATTAACTTGGTAAAATAAATTCTTGCTCTTAATATGGCTATAATCATGTATAGAGATTTACAATAGAATCCCTTTCAATCGGCAGCAACGGCACTTCGCCAATTCCGGATTAGACATTTTTCCGAAACGCAGAAATTCACTTATTATTAATTAGTTTTCATTAGTTAAAGGGGGATCTATTATTCATTACGTTTTTGGAAATTACTTGACCAGTGATTATTGGGAAGAACATGCCAGCGCAAAGTTTAGAATTAGAGGAAACAGGAACTTTAGTTTGGGGTATTTGTTTTCAGAAATTATTTTACTTCTGAAAAAGAGGGACCTATGTCTGATCACTCTCAGAATTGAAAATGTTATTCAAAACTTACATGAAACTAAGATTTCGTTTTTGCCTAGTCGTAAATGTTTGACGGAAATTAAAATCAAGCTATTTGGCTACTTAACTCCTGACATGGCGACATTTCTGTGATACTCGGTAATTTTTATAATATAGTTTGACTTTATTAGGCAACTTAACTTTAGCTAAAAAACTTATTATGTAATGTTTTGATCACATAACCGAACTATTGATCGCAGTAAGAGATGTATTTTTCATCTTTTCGTATAGAAAATGGCAGGGCTTCGACAATCCGATAACAATATTCGAATGATAACATTAACCGCTATTAGATTAAGCGTGCTGTTTATTATATAACTTATTAAATTTCTTTTTATATTTTTAACTAGGTCTTTCCATGTACCTGTTCTACGGAGTAGGCCACAGTAAACTTGATGCTACATCATCTAAATCGACGCTTCTGAAACCAGGATCTCCACCTCCGGCCACTTGGGGCTCTTTGGAACGTGAATCCTCTTTCGACCTCAGCGGCAAGACTGGTCCAACAGAAAAACCCAAGAGTAAAGTGGCAGCTTCATTGTCCCAAGAATTTCTCGTTGATCATCAAAATACATCTCCATGAAAATGAATATTTATTGATGATATTATATTTTGCAAATCGTGAGAGACAGCTAACTGGGAATGAAATTTTCGTAATTTTAGGATTATTCAGACAGTTGTAAAATATTATTCTAATAACGCTTCTGAAAAAAAAAAAAAAAAAAAAAAAACGTTCAGAGAATGTTCAATGTAAGTGCTTCAGATGTACATGTCGGGAACGTTCGAGCAGAAGATTCCAAATCACGTCTGTATATTTCGGTTCTAAAACAGACAATAGCATGCCAAATACTTATGTTAGTAATCCTTCCAAGTAACGTGCCATAAAAACTAAGTAGAATGTTTCAAGCATGTTTTGGCAGCACGTTCCTGGAACGTTTTAAGAGAATGTTCTAAATCACATTTATGTATTGCAATTTAATAAGTCATACTACTAACACTTCTGTATAACGTTCATACAACGTTTTAAGAACGTTCCGCTAACATTCTAATAGGACTTTTTGAATGACGTCATCAGGCTACAGTTCAATAACGGGCAATAGAACTTCAAAACGCGGTACTACTAACACTTTCGTATAACGTTTCTTGAACATTCTATGAATGTTCCTCTAATATTCTAGCAGAACGTTCCTTTAATCTCGCCAATAAGAGTTTTGAATAATGCTAATAAGTGGCAGTTAAATAAGGGACATCAGAAAGTCAAAACATTATACTAATAAAACGTTTGTGTAACTTTCCTAGAACGTTGTATGAATGTTTCTGTAACTTCCTAGAAGAATATTCTGAATCAAGTTTCGAAAAGTACCAGTGTTGTTACTGAAATGTGCATCCTAAAAACACGATTGTAACACACAATTTAGCTTGCCCTGTAGAATGTACTTTCTTTAGAAAATGTTGGAAACGTTTTGAAAAGAACCAGTGTTGTAAGTCTAAATGTACTACTAAGAACACGATTGTAATATTCTCCGCTTTGATTCTATAGAAAGCTCTATACCTACAAACGATCGTCATAGAACGAATGACGATCGTTTGTAGGTATAGAGCTTTCATATTTCTTTCTGAACGTGTTCTGAACGTTTTGGTGTAGCAGTAGTTGTTCTTTTTGCAATAATATTTGTGGTAACTTCTCCAGCCGATAATATTGGAGAACTTTAAATAATTGTGAACAAGAATAAGTCAGAACTCAAATAGGAATTTTAACATATATTTATATGAAAGAAAAATGTCTTAATGAACATAAACAATTTTTAATTTATACCGGAATCGTTTAGAATGCAAATGCGATGCACTCTCGATTATCCGAGCTACTGCCGGAGAAGCAGGTCACGAATAACTGAAAAACACGGATGATCCAAATTATCAGTCTTCATGTAACGTGTATGCGTTTATTTCTTATTTCTTAAACAAATCAGTAATTTTACTTTGCTTTTGAAAATGTTTAAATATTTGTCGAATTTCAAGGCGTATTTTTCGAAGTGCTGTTTTATCATTGCATTCGAATCCCTTTTGGTCGAAGAAGTCTGAAAGAATTTAAATAAAAATCATTGCATTTTCGGGACCAATGTAATTGTCTGTATCTTCTTCGCTTGCATTTTCAGTATTACGTTTTGCCTTTTCTCTTCTTGTGACATTTGAAACGATATCCGCATCACTCGAGCATTGAAAGCACTGCTCTTTCGAATCGCCATCGAACCAATCTTCTATGCTTTTTCGATCGACATTTCCAAATAATTTTACATCTTCTATTTTTTTGGCACATAACTCCAATTACTGCTTCGATTTCTTCCCAATTAGATAAATCTCCAATTTCTTTATTAGGAATCTTTCTGCAAGATCGAAACAGTGTTGTTAGTTTCACTACTTCATGTATGGCATTCAATACTGTCAATGATGTGTTCGATTACGCACATGCAGAGCGAATTGTACGAGGTAATTGTTTAAACTAAACCTAAAGATGCATTTCAGTGGTTTTCAGAGCATGCTTGAACTTGTGCGTATTAGTGTTTTACACACTTTCGCGCAGTGCGTTGAGTATGCCTGCGTGGGCGGTGTTCGCCGAAAACATTGCGGAGAAAACAATGCAAGGAGAAAACGTCGTGGGAGAAAATATCGCAGTTCTAAAACATCGTGGTACAAAATATCGTGGTCGAAAATAAACCGGTTCAAAAATTTCGCAGTTTAAAAACATCGTCCTCAAAAATATCGTGGTAAAAAATAAAGTACCTACAAATCATCACAGGACGGTAACATCGCACACATGCGTTTTCAGGTTTTGAAAGACGCAAATGTATGTTCATATAAAGATCACAGAACTGAAGAAGTAAAGAGGGATTCTTTTACTTTTATATTTTATATATTTGAAATAAGTAATAAATTTTTGCTAAAAAAATAAGAAGGAAACTTAAGCATTTAAAAACTTAAAATGAGTAGAAAATTAATGCAACTTAAAAAGCTTAAGAGAATTTTAAATTTATATAGTTAATTAACAAAGTCATTAATAAAGTAAGCTTTCTTTATAAAGTTTAACTGACAATTTTTCATGAAATGTACAATCTAAAAATGCTTAGAAAAAGGAACATAAATAACTGCATTAGGTTACCTCTATAAAAATTGCTTGGTTAATGATCAAATTATTTTCTTTCACAGTTGTTAATTCTGATATTGTTTTAATGAAATATATTGTTTTGTTTCCGTTTATTCTTAAAGTGTCATTAAAATTTTCATGTATAGCATGCAACAATTTTTCGGGTGTCGATTTGTTAGTTATGACGAAATTCAGTTACATAATATGTCATTATACATTTTGGAAAACCCTTGTATGCGATGTTATCGTCATGCGATGATTTGTACGTACTTTATTTTTTTACCACGATATTTTGACGACGATGTTTTTAAACTGCGAAGTTTTGAACCCTTTATTTTTGGCCACGATATTTTGTACCACGGTGTTTTTTAGAATTGCGATGTTTTCTCTTTGCGATGCTTTCTTCCACGATGTTTTGTACCACGACGTTTTCTCCTTGCGTTGTTTTCTCCACGACATTTTCTTCCGCGATGTTTTTGCAACGGTGTTTCCGGCTGTAACCGCGTGGCCACCGGCCCGCATGGATGATCTGCAAACCGTATAATCCGCAGCCTGATAATCGAGAGTACACTGTGTTATATTTATTACTTGCTAAAGATTGGATTCCAGAGAGAAAAAATCGGAAATATATTTGAATTTTTTCTTTGGTGACGTAATGCATTCCGAGGTCTCCAAAGGACTAGGTAACTTCACGAACAACATATAGTACTTTTCGTGCGAACTATCTATTCTTATCATAAGAAATGTACCACTAATAGCTATAAACACGGAAATATGATGAGAAATGGCAGACGTACCTTGTGAAGGCATTGACTCATTTTCCGCCCAATTATCAGTTCTATCTGTGAATTAATCTCAGACATTTATTACAACGTGCAGAGAGGTTTCGACAGTCGTTAAAACAAACTGTAAATTAAATTAAATTTATTAGGACCTTAATTTAACAATAAACTAAAATGCAATATTTGTGGGTAGCAGTGAGACATTTCGAAGAAAAACTGTGTTAAAATACTTATTGGCAGACACTTTTTTCCCTGCAAACCAAGCATTTTTGCTTTTTCTCAAACCAATAACTTTCTTTTATATATTCCGAATGTTTTAAAAAATCACTACTTGCCCTTTTGGAGATTACACCACCTATCCGAAAAGCTCTGAGACTGGACATCAGAAAACTTAAGATGAAATTTTAATGATTCGGGTGTTCTACATAATCTTCTCCCCACTTGAGTGCAATGCATAGAACGTTCATACAGCCATATGAAGCTGTCTGAAAATTCCTTGCTTGGGATGTTATTCGACTTTCGTGTCACTATTAGTTACGCGTCAGATCATTGACCCTTCATGTAAAGTTTAATTTTCATAAATAAAAAAAAAAGGTCACTTGGCACCATATCGGATGAAATCAGAAGAGGGTCGGGAACTGGCGTAAACTGCACTACAACTCAAGCCGTGTGAGCTTTCTCATTATCCATGCGACAAAAGCACATCCCTTGTCTTCCACCGTTTCTGACGAACCCGATGAATCCTCTTCCACATTCAATCCATGAGCTGGATTCCCAGTTTTACCCTAGCTATGATTATATTCCACGAAGAAAATATGTCTCGGAACATTTGGAGCAGATGGTGTAGTTCAATTTCCAGAAGTATGGTTTATGATTTGCTTTAATGTCAAATGCTATCGAAGATATACTCCAAGTTAGTCCATCAAACCAGTTTTATCAGAATAAAGGCTTAAGCAATTCTAACATTTCACCGGATATCGAATCTAGTGCAAGCTTCAACGTAAAAAAAAATTGTAAATGTCTTAGTTTCTGTTCATGCGCTCTGCTTTCTGATGGATTGTAGAAATGAAGTTTTATGTCATGTGTTTTCATGGGCACGTTTATTTGAGAAATTCTCGTGTTGATTTAAAAAAAATCCGAAATCCTCTGAATCGAGTTTTGTAGATGTTCTACGGCCGTCAGACAACTTTTTCAGATAATAAGTAGTTTTTTCGCTAGATGTCGTGGGATGGTTTGCATGAAGTTTCTATAATTTTGGTTTACATACCATGATAATGCTTTTTTGAGCATTGTTTTTTTTTTTTTCTCTAATGGCCTTTGATATTCTTTCGTTTTTTCAAAGGTTCTTCTTATCTTTTACAACAATTTCCTTGTATGACTTCTTTTACCAGTTCTAATTTAAGTTTCCATGTATGGCGATTTTGATAAAATGTATTTATCACCTGTTCTATCGTTACTCGATCTTTCAGAATTTCTAGTTTGAGTGAGTTTGTGGCTTTTGTTTTTATATTGTTTACTTGGAAGGAGTATTTTTCTACGCTAGCTAGGGAGTAAGGCAAAATAAGATAGACTGGTCATAAAGTTAGATAAAATCTTACTTTTAGAATTATTAAAGGCCATCTTTTAAATTACGTAACAGATATAAAAATTCAAGGACTTTTTTATAAGAGAGATTTAAATCTTGATTTGAACGAAATGAACTGTCTAGAACAGTTATTTTTGTGAAAAATGACCTCTCAGTCTAGATGAAAGTAAAAAAAAAAAAAAAAAAAAAAAACCGAGAATCTGGGGGAAAACTCCTAGGTGT